CCTCCTCCTCCTCCTCCACCTCCTCACCACCACCATCATCAACATCATCAACTTCATCACCATCATCATCATCATCATCATCATCATCATCATCATCATCATCATCATTACCACCATCACCATGATCATCATAATCACCATGATCATCATCATCATCAACATCAGAGGTGTCAAAAAGTGCAACCTCAAAAATGAAGGTTATCTATGCTGTCAGCAACTCAAAATGGGGCTTGGGGAAGGAACCGCTCAAGAAAGTATATCAGATGTTTGTGAAAAGCAAGATGAATTATGCTGCCCCAGCGTGGCAGCCTTGGCTCTATGAGACTAGTGCAAAGTCCCTGGACAGAATACAAAACAAAGATCTCCGAATTGTATCAGGTCAGCTGAAAACAACACCTACAGAAGCGCTGCGCTATGAGACCAGAACTGAGCACTACACCACCTATACAAAAAGAACATGCCTCAAGTCCTTAAAGATAAGCCCTTGATCAAGCAGTCAAGCCTAAAAACAGCAGAAAATGTTGGTATCGGATGGGCACCGATCTAGCAGACCACCTCCCCCCTGAAACAGAGAATCGATGGCCGATCAATATGGTGAGAGCTTCTCCATGGGAGACCCATGGCGAAATCGAAATTCGGACAGAACTGACAGGAGTAAAAGGAAAAGGTGATGATCCTGTAAAGGCACGTGAAGCAGCTGAGGATGTGATCAAAGAGGTTAGTGCGGATGTGACAATTGTCACCAATGGATCGGCTGTCGCAGGATACTGCGAAGATGGAGCAGCAGCAGTGGTGATAATGAATGATGAACCACCACGAACAGAAATTATTAAAACTAAAGGTGCATTCCTTATGACGAGGAATGCCAGGCAATGGTGTCTGCTGCACAATTAATTGCTGACAGTTGCCACATTAGGACCAATGAGCTGATCTTGACTGACAGTCAGTCCGTCTGCAAGGGGCTGTTGGGCAACAGCTCGGACATGAATGATTTGCGCCGAAAGTTCATTGAAGCCAGAGCCACAATAATAATCCAGTGGATTCCAAGCCATGTTGGAATAGAAGGAAATGAGGCAGCAGACCAAGCTGCTAATGAAGCCAGAGAGATTGAAGGAAACAGACGACCAACAACATACA